TTTCAATGGGTTTGACAACTTTATACGGCCCCGGTGGAAGACCTCTTCGCCACCCGCTTCAAGGCTCAACTATCCCGATTCGTATCTCCCATCCCCGACTCTCGGGCTTGGGAGCACGACGCGTTGGCGATCTCGTGGGAAGGTCTCAATGCCTACGCCTTTCCCCTGACAGGGCTCCTTCCCCGGGTCCTACAGAGGGTAGCACCCACCGATCACCTGTCTCTGATTTTGGTCGCGCCCTACTGGCCAATGCGCAACTGGTTCCCCATGTTGCTAAGGCTCGCCGACGAATGATTTCATCCTCTTCCGCTCTGCGATGACGTCCTCATTCAACCGCACTCTCGATGGCTCCATCAGTCTCTGACAACCCTACATCTTTGCGTTTGGCGCATCTGCAGAAGTCCCTAGTAGCAAAAGGTTACTCCCAGCGGGTAACGAAAACCATCTCTGCTGCCCATCATGTTTCCACCAGGCGCCTTTATGACCAGAAGTGGACGGCTTTTGAGAGTTATTGTCGCGCTCGTTATATTTTCACTCCTACCTCGGCTTCGCCTCAACAGATTGACGAATACTTACATCACCTGCGTTCGACTCGGAAACTTAGGGGGTCCACGTTGGCAACCTGCCTCGTGGCTATTAACTCCGTCATCGCCACCACTTCCAGTGCGAAGGTTTCCACGGATATGGAACTACAATCGCTCGTCTGTTCCTACAAATTAGCCGACCAGGCTGCTTGTTGTTTTCGGCCTCCTTCGTGGGACCTAAACGTTATTCTTCAACACCTGGTTTCTGATGATTACGAACCACTGATGGAGAAGGATTTCGAGACAGTTATGCTGAAGACCGTTTTTTTTGTTGGCTTTGGCCACTGCCGCACAGGTTAGTGAAATTATGCTTTGGATGTCACGAGAGTCCAGTTTGACAGATCCGGAAAGCAAAGCATTCCTGGGGCTTCGTTGGGATTTCGTGGCAAAGAACCAACTGCCCGGACAACCGGACCGGCTATTTACGATTCCCCCGCTCTCGGCTATTTTGGGATCGAACGACCATGAAGACCTTTCTTTGTGCCCGGTTCGGGTGCTTCAAATATATCTCGATGTGTCACGCCTGCACAGATGTTCCCGGAAGAGACTTTTCATCCCATTGTCAACTGCGTCTACATCAGAAATTTCTCGGACGACGCTATCATTCTGCGAGCGTATACTTTTGCCGGGCTGCCTCCACCTACAACTTCAAATCCTCATGAGACTTGTGCGGTTGCTTCCACCATGGCCCTCCACAGTAACTGCATCCTCTCAACCATCATGGAAGGGTGCTTTTGGAAGTCTGATACTGTGTTTGCATCCCACTACCTTTGCGACATTTCTGTCACAGACATACAAGGGCTCCATAAGTTCGGTCCATTGGTTTTGGCTCAACAGCTGTCTTGCCCTGGTTCATGCAGATAATAAACACTTATACCACGGGGTTACAAGTGTATATACAGAATATATCATTGAACATTTACGTGGTATTACATATTCGATTTTTCCCAGATCGAGTCCCTTTCGGAGGGTGGATAAGCTTGTCTGTAGAGACTTATTCGTCTAATTTACGAAGTGACCAATCGGTGCAGCCGATCGTATACATTCAGTCACAATCGTACAAGGGCTAAACAAGTTCGGTTCGTTGGTGTTGGCACAACAACTGTCTCGCCCCAGTTCACGCAGAACATAAACTGTTATCCTTCGTAATCCTTGCGGGTTACAATTGTATATACAGAATAAATCATTAAACTTTACGTGGTATTACATGATTTTTTATTGTTCAGGCTTCCCAGATTGAGTCCCTTTTGGAGGGTGGATAAGCTCATCTGTAGAGACTTTTTAGTCTAATTTACGAAGTCACCATTCGGTGCGGCCAATCAAAAAACAAAATAAACGCAGCAACAAAAAAGATCGGTGTCCCAAACCTTTATTCTGCTCACCTCTGCCTAAGGTATTTGTGATGTAGGGTTTTGGTTCGAAGGTCCATTGCTATGGAATATTGTCGATCGTTCCTCTTCTTGCTTTTGGTTCGCTTCATACATTCGAACGTGTTTGATAACCGTGACGAAGTGTTAAAAGAGTTACCAAACCTAACGCACTCTATGGTCCGTGGGAGATAGTGGCTGTGTTTTGTTTGAAGAATCGATGCCCTTCCAGGATCGATTTCAAGTCGTCTGCCATTTCGCTTATGCATTTACAGCTATGCGGTCGTTCTATATGTACGATGACATACGGGAAAAAACGTTCGGCATGTATACCCGATCTCATGCTGTTTCGTTTGAGTAACGTATCGGGATCATTAACACTCACTGATCGTGTGTATTTTTTCCCCCCGCTCACACGTTCATGTCTTTAGACGCTAGGCAGTTTTTCAAAATTACACTGTCTAGACCCAGCTTCCTCGTGCATATCTCATGGTTGTAGTCTATACAGGCTAGGGTATCTGCGGCCCACCATCCGACCGTGGGATAAAATGCAAAGTGTGAGATAGGATAAGTTTAAAAATTGGGAAATTTTAGTATAAATTGTATATTTATATACTTATCCTATCTCACACGCAATAAGCCCACCCAACCATCCCCGCATCTCATTTACTCTAGAGAATTAATTGGTAGAGGCGTACACGTCGTCAGTTCAAGCAGGCACGGCGTGCACGAGAGGCACGTAATTGACCTAGCTTTTGGACGTAACCATGGAGATGCAGGGGGGCTTGGGGGGCTATTTTTATTTTCAGAAGCTGGAAACATGATTCAAGCACGTTCCCACATAGGATCTAAGAAGAAGGGAGAAATGCAAAGTGTGAGATAGGATAAGTATATAAATATACAATTTATACTAAAATTTCCTAATTTAAATTTTTTTCTGTGAAAGATCAGTAACTATAATGGTTACACCAAGGACAATAAATTTCTACTGTTTCTTGGGTATACTAGTATTTAAAATATGACAAAATTATGTTTCTTTATGTTGGCATAATTTACCAAACTATTTGTTAAGTTTAGATGTTTCTTGTTAAATCACTGAAAGTTGGAATTTTCAAGGCTTAGTTTTGTTTATTCAACAGGACCAAAAGGGGTACAAATTTGGATAATGACCCATATACGATCTCTTGACACCTAATGGCTGTGAATGAATGTCAAGGTAATTAACACAAGTGCTTCCAACTTTTTATAAATGCAGCTTGAGGCAAAGGTTTTTCAGTTTCAAAATTGTACTGCACTGAGCATGTGTTTTCCCACAAGGGATGTTAGTGAGCTTGAAGTACTTACATCTTGGTTATTTAGGTACTTACAGGCATAAGACATTCTCTTTCAAAGTTGTACTGCTTTGGGCATGCATTTTCTCAAACCATAAGTGAGGTCAACTGGCGTCAGATGTGGTAAAGTTAAAATGGTTTATGATATATATGTTTCTGATGGGAAAGTGTTGGGGCATTCAGGAAACAGTATGGATTGGTCTGCTTCTGTTATTGCATGTAATACTAACACCTTTCTATTTGGGATATAAAGTTGCAGTTGTGAGAGCACAACTGTTCCGTTTTATCCCAATAAAGTGTTGTCCTGAGTCGTGTCAATACGCGAGTCAATACGCGAGTTCAACAAAGAGTATGCCTGTGTATATAGTGAACAGTTTGAGATACAGAGGTATGTGGTGACCAACTAACTTTAAATCATGTTGTTTTTTGAGTGCCTATACACGCACACACAATGCAGCAGCAATTTTTGACTTTGAACATATGAAGCTAATATGACTTCCTGCATTATCGCCCCTCTGACTGACAGAATCAGCTGGATGTACATTATCTGCTTCATCACCTTCGACATTAGTCATTAACAGTTCACTTCTCTGTTTCAACTCATCAAAGTAAGTAGCTGACTGCTTACTTTCATCAGGGTCACCAACAACCAAATCCTTGAGTTGCATGGTTTTAAGCATCAGTTTATCTACAGTTTCTTTTATGAATTTATCTCATTGTCCAGAGAAGCGCTGCTGCTAACACCTCCCTCTAACTTGTCTCTAATCACTTTCTCAAGTCTACTAAAGTAGGACACTAAACCTCCCCTCTGTCTCCTGAGCTGTGTGATATTCTCAGCTGTTCTCATCATGTGCTAAGTCCTCCTTCTCACACATATCTTCTCTAGGAATGCATGACATCTTCAATTTTTCTTGAACTTTTATGTGGGAATAATTTAGGCCAAGTTAATCTTGAACTCAATCAGTCTTCTGACACATTAGTATACTTGAGAGTTTCCTTACCATGCTTGTGTACAAACCAGTACAGTAAAGTGTAGTTGTATAGGTTTAAGCTGCACAAAAAAATCAAGAAATTTGTTTAGTCCAAACTTCCCATGTTTATCTGAATATCTCACATACATATCAACAAATAAAAACAACAGTTTACTGCATTTAGTGCGAAAGAATGTTAACAACTGGTAAATATGCTTAGCATGAAAATAGGTGACATATCACCATGTGCTTTTCCACGTAAACTCGCGAAATTAAATTTTTTACAGGTCTATGATATAATTAAAAGAAAAACATTGTTATAATTCTAATTATTAATGCTTAAAACATTTCCTGGCCCCAATTTCCATAACTTTTCTTGGTACACCGCAGTGACCACAAAAAAACACAGCTCTTCCTAAATGTGTCCTCACCATGCTCACCGCAGCAAGCACGGACACCCCACTAAAATCCGGGCAGTTATTGTTTAAGAGCCTTAAACTAGAATCTGGATCAGAGAACTGAAATTGCCAAAAGAATGCAAAATGCAACACACTTAAAATACTTCTATGAGAAAAATCCTTTCACAATGTTCACTTCTTGGGAATTGTGACAATTCCAGAATCCATAGGGTTGCTCCAGCATTTAAAATGTTCTGTTCATGTAAGAGAACTAACTTGCGTGTTACTATTTTCCTATATTTTCTCGTGCTATATCATATTGAAAGTTGATCTATTTTTATTGTTGCAGCAAAGCAAGTGCCAGAATAAAGTCAGAACAGTCCACATCTGGAACTCTGGCTATGATGTTCAATTAGAAACAACTGCATCTATTGTTAGTCTTGCCCAGGCTACCACTGAGGTGATAAAGGACCATGCATTGAGAGATGAACTGGTCAAAAGGAAAACCAACTGCAAGAGAAAGAGAGAAGGTACTATCTTGGAAGACAAAAAAGTGGACTATATGGGTGTTTGTGCTGACATATTTTGTGGCATGATGTTCATTTGCTTGAGTACATTGTAGGTATAAAGGGATCTCAACTGTGTTTTTAAGGTGGCTCAAAGCTAAATATTTCACTTGCCACACCCATTGTTCTTCCATGTGCTGTCTATTTGTTATCTCTCAAAAAACATAAGGCAAGAGAGCTGAAACTCTCTAGACTATAATTTGATGTTAATTTGTTCTTGGCAAAGAATTGACAAATTTAGTTCACGTTTTTCCTGAAGTGATCTTGTATCGTGCATTGTGTGGTGTAAACATCTTCTCCATTGAAACCACTGGACCAGTGAAGCTCAAAATTCACATGTTGTTCACACTAATGATGACACCTGAGTGTGTTAAAAAGATTCAAATCTGATGTTTAATTAGACAGCCATATTGAAATCTATATATGGACATTATGAAGCCATTTTGTTCACAATGTAATGAAATAAGATATATGTTTAGTAAGGAGTGGTATTGAACACATATGTTCACATGTATTTGCAATATTTGAACTTTTGACCTTGATCTTGATGTACTGTGAACATAACGTTCCCAGAGCATGACCAGTGAAGCTGACACTTCAATTCACATGAGCTTATGTCGTGACCAGTTTGTCCATCGTCAGTCATGTGTAGTGTGACGTAAGCATCTTCTAAAAAAACCCAGGATCAATGAAATTACACTTGCTTGTTCCCACCAAATTCCTCATGAAGCTTAAGGGGGCAGTGATCTCTGACAATTCACCGGGACTGGTTGTTACCTTTGTTATTGTTTTATTCCTGGGGAATACACGAATGATATCCCAGAAACCTTGACTAGTTCGTGACCTGTGTTGCGCCAACCGTAAGCCCACTTGTCGTTTTTATTGATAGTAGAAGGGTGTATCTTCACATTGATCAACAGAATGAAATACAGATTTTTTAACTTATCCTTTCTCACTCTATGCATTTCTCCCTTCTTCTTTCAATCCTATGTGGAAACATGATTGAACAAGGTTTCCTTCTTCTAAAAACAAATCATCAGAACACATCCCAGCATCACCATGGTCATGACCCATGCAAATGTAATCCTGTGCATAGCAACCTACACAACGTGATCACATGATTTCCCCTGCCACATCATGGTCTTTCTCATCGCCTCCTCTGTTGAGACATGCATACATTTTAGTTTTTTGTGTGTGAGCTACCTCCTCCCTGGTAATAACACCTACGATACATATTGAAGAAGATGGGAACAGCAAGGATAAATGCCCAGCCTGTGTAACTTGCAGATGTAACTCACGACCTTTGCTGTGTATCTCGTTGTCTTTGTTCTATGGGGGTGCCAGTGTTCTCCCCACTCTGAGGAAGCCTTATGTATTACCTATGCAATGCCATAACATTGATCGGCGGTCTAAATTTCAGGACGTAAGACACGTGCCTTCCTCTGCTAAGAAGCCCAACATGTTACCAAGTGTCCTCCACCCCCTACGTCTACCATACCATCCTCGTCTTTTATTTGTTTGTTGTTTATCTGTTTATGGCATGTCAGATAGCTTCCTTACTGATGACGTTCCCACCCTAAACATACCAGCCATCTGATACAAGTCCACTCATTACCAGTCCAACATTAGAGCGACCTGCTCCCATGGACAGAAGCACAGTGAAGTCAAGGAGCGTTTGTCTACGCCAGCCTCGACAGTATTGACCGTCAACTCTCCCAGCATTCCTCAGCCATGAGTTGTGGGTCATCCAGCATCCCCTCCTCAGTTACGGTGAAACCACCTCCAGAATCCACCTTGCCTGCACTATTGGTGGTCGATGATGTCGTCTCAGACAGTTTTCTTACAGACAATGTCCGTATTATACTGGCTCAATGCAGCTACATCGGACTTTCGCAGAATTCTCTCTTCCGTCAATTTGTCCAAAGCTGCCTCTGATACACAAGATTATCTGCTGCCAGTCGCTCTTCTCCATCCAACGTTACTGGCACTCCTCCATGAACAGTGATGAATAAGGCTTCCCCTGACACTGGTCAAATGGGTTCACCCTCTACTAAGGATATACAGAGCACAGATCGATCTCGCGCTTCTACCTCGGATCTCTATTCCTAGAATAGTCAATTGCGTGATCAGCACTTTAATGATCTCTCACCTTAGAACTGCTTGTCTTGGGATCGACAGTCTGAGGTTCGTCTTTCCGGTTCGCAAGGTCACTCTTGGGATTGATGGTTGGGGGATTGACCTTCTTTGGGTCAATGCTCACAAAGGACACTACTGATTCATCATGTACTACTCCATGGTTACCCTTATAATTCGTCTTATCCTGACTTCTGATTCAATGATGATTACTACCGCTCTCCTCTTCGGGTTCAGCCCATCACCATCGCTGTGATGAGCTTCAACATCCCTCTCCTTGTTATCCCCCCGGCATATAATGCGGGGGGATATAGCGATCAGCCAGTCTGTCTGTCTGTCCATCTGTCCGTCTGTCCGTCCGTAATCATTTCCTTTTCCGGGGCAGAATTAAAAAAACATTCAGTGTATTTGATCGGAACTTGGCAAAGCTATCAGGCACATACTGAAGTGGTGCCTTATGATATTTTGGGATTTTTCTAATTTTTTATTTTTTTAAATTTTTATGGGATGAAGTTGGACATAAGACTCAATTGGAGATGGGGTTCGTTTCCGGGGCAGAATTCGTAAACCATTCAGTGTATTTGATTGGAACTTGGCAAATCTATCAGTCTCATACTGAAGTTGTGCCTTTTGCTATTTAGGAATTTTATAAATTTTGATTTTTTACGTTTCCATGGCAACAAGTTGGACTTTTTAATATAAGTTTTAATATAGGGTGGGTTCACTTATGGAGTAAAACAAATAAACTGTTAATTATTTCCTTGCCAAACATTGCATGTCTATCTATCTATCTATCTATCTATCTATCTACCTACCTACCTACCTACCTACCTACCTACCTACCTACCTACCGATCGATCGATAGATAGATAGATAGATAGATAGATAGATAGATAGATAGATAGATAGATATATAAAGCACATACTGAACTGGTGCCATTTGATATTAAGGAAGTTAATAAGTTTTAGAAATGTTTATTTTAGAATTTCCATTGCCGCTATTTTGAAATGGGCTAAGAGAAATGTTGGGTCACTTACCTGGTTTGGGACCATAACGTGTTAAAATGGGCAGGGGATATAGATGACTTCGTGACTGTATGCTTGTTTAGTCATTGTTTCTTGTAAATTGTCATTTGTTTGCATAAAAAAACCCACAGAATACAGAATAGCACATTTACTTGTGGTTACTTTACAGACAGCTGCCGGGGGGATATGTCATCTTTCTGATGACTCTTGTTTGATGTTCATCTCCGACAGATGCTTGTGTGGATTGCCATTCTCCTAGTCGTTCCCAGTCATCATCTCCACCTTCAAAAGACTCCCTCGTCGACTACTGCGCAGGTCACTCCTCCCAGATGCGCAGTCCCAGTTCAACAAGAGGTTTCTACTGTGTCGCCAGATACGTGTTGGATCATCAAGATTCCCCACCTCTTCTCCTTTGATATAATGTTGATCCGGGGATTGTCCTCCCTGGCTGATCTTATTTTCCAACCCTGACCCACAACACCACACCACCTGGGAGCGGCATCAGGATATGTATATCGAAGTCAATTTTCGTCTCAGCCTCTGGGTTGACATCGACATCGATATCTGCCTTCCAGGCACATTTTATGTATAACTGAAGTCAGCAATGTCGCAAACTCTCGGAGACGGATTTATTACCTGCCTCCAGGGTTGTCAAGCGTTTGGTAGATCGTCATTTAAAGGGTTCGTTGAAGAATTCTGTACTATCAGCAACCAAGAAACCTTAGCAGACAGGTTCTCCATTGTTATCGAACTCGTTTTTTGTTCAAGACCACGTCATCGACCATCATTAACCTATCAATGAAGTAGGACACACTACTGGTTTCATTCTTCATAGCCGATTTTTTTCCCGCCTTTCGATGACTACAGCCTTCTACAGCCTTCACCTTCTACAGCTGTCTCGCTTTCAGCCAACCACCCACTGTACTGTATGATCAAGACTGGTTTGTTACAAGCAATGTATAAGTCGCCATGTACCATAGTCGCTCTACCTCTACATCGCCTGGATTGGATTAACTATGTCAGTTTGGAGACGGTTATATTGGCATCACCCTTCCTTATCTACTTCATGGAAAAAATCAGTCTCTCTCCGTTCAATTAATCTCTTGCTCAAGGAGATTGCCAACTTAATAACGATCCAGCATTTTTACCCCTCTCAAGATAGACATTATCAAGGGAATGAAGATTGCCTGGATTTTTTGTCCCATTTTTACTTGTGTGATCAACAGTGATGTGACTTTTCTTACTTAGTTACAGACATCACATCAATCAACTTGCTTATGCAGAGGTCACATAACCCATTCTACAGGGAACTGGCTGCATGTACACTGTCATCTCTTCAGAACTCGGGACGCCGTTTTTGTTTGTCTGCTATACAGTTCTCTGTTTTGTCACGTGATGGAAGTGTGTGAAGTATTTCACCAAGTGCTTTGCAAGACTGGTTTCCCTGCTCTTGAGCGCTTGCGATCATCGCCGCACTACAAGGCTTGTGCAGCCGTGTAAGAGAGGATACCTCATCCCATGGGGGTAAATTTTGCAACTCTCCACTACTACTACTACCACCACCCCTCTTCTTACTGTCATTGGTCCCCCTCCCCTATAACAAATTACCAGTCCCTGCACGTAACTTTCTCATTCAGGTAGCTAGAGGAATGGGATTGTTTTGTTTGAAGGTGTCATTAGACGTGTGCTTTCTATAATTGATGTCACAAACAGCTGATCCTGCTGTAGAAAGTCACCATGACAACATCATCGCCGAATCCACGGCACAATGTTAAGTTTCTGATGAAATTACTCGTGATCAGAAGTTTTATATTCCAACCCTCTATAACTTGAAACAACCCAGAGCACTAATCGTCTTGTTCATAAGTCATGATTCTGGGTTCAAATTGTTTTGCACTGGGGATGATTTTCCCCAACCAGATGGGATGTCATAACAGTGGAAATGCAGTTATACTTTCATTACATTAGTTAGAGGCAAGGTACTGGTGCTGGGCTGTAGTAGGCATGTATTTCACCACACTGAAGGGGATATTAGTATCACACTGGAAGTGACAGGTGTATATGTATTGATTTCTGGGGACTTCTACAAATTGCAGTGTAGGGGTTTCTATGTTTGTAACTGCTTGCAAACACTTTTCTACTTGAATAAGTGCTTTCATTGCATTATGGACTGCTGAGATTTTAGTTTCACCATTTGTAGCAAGACAGGGCTTTTTCATGCACCATTTCCCATAGATTGCACTTCTTTTAGCAAAACATGAGAAAGCCATTGAACCATGCAACAAAGTAGTTCCCAACTGCTTTGAATGCAGAGCTTTTGGGACACATTGCCACAATGTGTAATCTGAGATTTGTGTGCACATGACTTTGTGATGTCCGTTGGAACAATGCAGTAATTCTAGAGCTAAACACTTGTGTGATTTAGACAATTGTTTGAGTCGCATCATAATTATTGCAAATATTATTTTCAGCTATTGAAAACCAGGACTTCAAGTCTGACAAGGAGTTGACGTCCATGTATGATGACAATGCATTTAATAATAAGAAATCTAGATATGAAAAAGGGAGCCAAATGCACCAAAAAACAAATGACAATAGTAATTCTACTGCACCTAAATCTCCTGTGAAGGATAGAAGCAGAGATGGCACAACTGCAGATTTTCACAGTATCACAACCCTTAAAGAAAACAAGCCTGGATCTTTCAAGAGGAACATGTTTGCTGTTCAGTCGTTATCCCACAGGTCCAAATTGGATATAAATGAACCGAGAAGTAAAGTTTACAGCAGGTATAATATGTTAGTTGATGTTCTGTACAATAGCATGTTCTTATCAGACTGCTGGGTTGAAAAGTAGAGCACCAGCTTAATTATTATCTCACCTGAACTGAAGGTGTGTGTTGATAGATATAAGACTGTTGACCGTGGTATATAACATGTTAATTGATCTTTGGTGAACAGCAATCACTGATCAGTTGGAACTGGAACTGCTTTAAGGATTTTGTTGGAATTTGGCTGCCACCTGTGATTTTTCTAATGATAACAATACAAAGATTATTGACATTGAGATTATTCCTCCATTGACTTTTTCCAAATGATTGAAGGGAATTCTTTTGGCATGTCATGAATCATGCACACAGAAAGAAAATAATCCCAAAAACGTATGCGGTTACTTCTTTCTTAAAACCTATTCCTGCATTTATTCTTCCACTTGGTGTAAACCTTCCTTATGATGGGCTCCTGCTTGGAAAGGTTTTGGTCAAGATATAGTGAAAGGTCCAGGTCAGCATTCCATTTTTTGTCAAACTAGTTATGTCATTGTGAGTTTCTCAGGCAAGGTTACCTCTACAAGCAAGGTCTTGTTTGTGACCATTGTGAACCATGGTTGTATTGCCAGCTACCATTGCACTTTTACTTTACAACCCTGACAATTATTTGTGTTTGAATCTTACACTATTGTCTTGATTAAGGTCAAAATCTGCAAGGAAAGTTTTAGACTCAAAGTACATGGTAGTAATTTAAGACTTTAGAAGATTGGAGGAAATGGAAAGGGCTGCATCTGTTTTTATAAGTACTTGCAAACACCTCCAGTTCCTTTCTGGTTTTTGTCATAGGTCCTGTCATCCTGGGGGTATCTTGTGATATGTTGATGTAATGCCTTTAAATACAGTAAATATGTTGTTTCTGATATACAGTATGTTCAATGAGGTAAGATCTAGAAATATTGCTATTTCAAAGTTTGGTTTAAAGATTTTTTATATATTTGTTCCAGGTATTTTTCTTGCAAAGAAAAAAATGAAGTGGCACAAAGGCAAAGAAGTATTGAAAACCATAATCCTGAGACCCATTCTGATATACAGACATTGAATGATGACAACTTTCAGTCATTTCTACCTGCAGGCAGCAAACAGCAAAATGATTTGGTCTCATCTCACACAGCATCTGACGTTTCATCTACGAAAAAATCTGTTTCTGTATTTAACTGGTCAAAGTCCAGTGGCACCAATCTGTGTTGTAAAGAAGAGGATTGTGTGGTGACAGGAGCACAAGCTGAAGACATTCATGATAGGAAAACAAATGAGGATCTCCGTCAGAATGCCAAGAAATTGACCTCTTCATCATTGTTAAACAGAGGTGTATCATGTTCACCTATTCCCCGAAATTCACAGGTAATTTGTACACAAGGATAAAAAAAATATACTGGACATATACTATCGATCATGAAATTAATGTGACCTAATTTAAGTGTCCCCCTCTTGCAGTTCCCTTTAAACATATTAGCTCACCTTACTGAAAGTTAAGTAGACGAGCAGCATATTAAAGTTACAGGCACATGAAACCAACAGGTCATCAGCAGAATTGGGGGTAGGGCATGGGAATGTTTCCATTTTTTTGTGGTGGCTCATTTTTTAGAGACTTCATTCAATTCATCAAGTTGTTTTTTTCTGGTAATCTCCAGAACATTGAGACAAGACTGACACTCAATGTCAAGGAGTAATCATGAAGTACAGACACAAGCTGGAAGTTAAATTAAAAGCTCCATTATAATGAATTCATTTTATGCATAACAAGAAATTCAGAACATTCAACATGTGTAAACAAGAGTGAATGAGTGGTTTTATGCCGCTTTTAGCAATATTCCAGCAATATCACGGTGGGCGACACCGGAAAATGGGCTTCACACATTGTACCCATGTGGGGAATCAAACCCGGTTCTTCATGTGACAAGCCAACCAGTGTAAGATGAGAAGAAAGTTTTCTATGTGAAATCTCAGTCATCTTACTACCTCACAACATAAACAGAATAAGTTATGTCAAGTTTGGTAAAGCAGACGAGGTGGCTTTTATGGACATTACTAAATTTCCCCATATGATAACTGAAATAAATTATCCTGCTTCAGACTGTTGAAAAAAAAGGAGAAATTGTCTGCCACAAAAGTGTACATAGCTGCAAGATGTTCTTTAAAGAAAAATTATTTAGGCTCATCAGTTTTAATCAAAAACATATATTGGATTGCAGATGTATCTGAAAAAATATCTAGTCTCACACTCAAAGCCTGGCTTTGCTGTGAAAGTCTGGGCACACGTAGGGCCCTTGTCACCTCTGTCAGTCTGTGTCCCTGCATCAGTGAGATTGGGAACAAGGAAAATTAAGGCGAGTCTTCATCAATTTGGGTCGACTTGCACTCAGGCCATGCATTTGGCACTGGAATGGTCAAATGCATATGCATTGAACTGGGAAGTCACAATTCAAATCCCTCTGTGAAACAGTGATTATTAAGTATTTTAAAGGTTTCTTATTGTGAAATAACCAGCCAGAATGTGATATATGTATGTATGGGTAAGACTTCCTCCTGTATCCCCCTTAAAAATTCATTAAAAGGATTGAGCCACAGTGAATAAATATATAGCTTTTAGAGGGAGGATATGGGCAGAAGTCTTTCTGATTATGGTAGAAACTGAGTTTATTAGTTCAAAATATAGTTTATTACATGATAATAATATTTGATACAAACAAATATTGCCAGATAGTCTGATACCTATTGTGTGGTGTATATGGAACTGTGGGCATCATGTATACAACATGGCTTACGCTCACACAGAGCCCAATGACGTAATACATATTCATGTTAAGATTTATCAGATCTAATATCAGGAAGGGTGTCCCAAATTTTAGCCACATTATGAAAAGTAAAACAACCAGTGCAAATGGTAAGAAAATTAATGGTTAAATTCAGTGGCTTCTGGCTTCAAATGGAAAACCTGCATTCATGATGACACCTGAGCTGTAGGAGTTTCCAATCCGATTTTCAAAATGGCAGCTTTGGCAGGCATATTGAAAAACCATTTAAAAGCCATCATTAGTTATGATAAGGATCGGAAAGGCTCCGTGGTCTAGTGGATAGAGCGTGAGCCTAGGGAGTGGAAGGTCGTGGGTTTGATCCCTGACTGCATCATACCAAATAACTTTGAAAGAAGGACTGGTCGGCTCGGAGTCAGTATACTGTGTATGAGTGAGGATAAGAATTTATGGATGAACAACTTCTTTATTACAATTGTTAATTTCATAAGCACATGTAATGTGTGAATTGAAATTATAATTTCATTAATAAAACGAAGTAGATGTGATGGCGGTGTCTTCATCTGCTCATGCTAAAAATAGGCCAAGTTCAAAGGTTACGATCTCGTGAAACGAGAGCGAGACCTAATTACCCATAAGCCCTTCTTCATTATGCCGAAGTGTTAAAAGAACAACTAAGAAAAGAGCTTCAATCAAACATTTATTTGGGATGTCCCAAATTAAGGTGACAAATAACCCGAATGCGAACGCGAACTACAAAAACAGTCTCATCTGAGACTGCAACCGGACGGATAATCTTGGTCCAAGCTGGACATCTGGAATGTGGGAGTTTCAGCCAGGTCTCCTCCTAATGGCGTCCTCTGTAAAGAGATACAATTCAGTCAAAATACAAGCTTGGGAGGGAAATTCAAGGGTGGGGCTATCACATCTACTTCGTTTTATTAATGAAATTATAATTTCAATTCACACATTACATGTGCTTATGAAATTAACAATTTCACCACATAAAACTCCGTAGATGTGATAGCGGTGCTTTAAAGCTCTAGTTAAGTATTTTAAACTGGATTCCACATTCTTTAGTCTCCCTCAAGTAAAACTGCTTGAAAGTAGATGCTCTAGACCAGTTTCCCAGTTCTAAAATTTCAGTGATCGAAGCACCTTTAGTGTAAGCTTTTGATGTAGAAGCATCCCGGACAGAGTGTGCTCTATACACTGTAACATTGATCCCTGCATCCTTCATCACATTAGTTACCCATCTAGCAACTGTAGCTGCGGATACAGGTTTGTGGGGTTTCACATAACTGAGTAATAACTTATCTCTATCCCCGTCCTTTCTCCACAGGAGTGTGCGGTCAAGGTAGTCTCTGATACACTGCACTACACAGAACAAAGGGTTCTTAGGATAGGCTTGTATGGTCAACTTATGAGGTTCTGACCCAGGCTTAGAGACCTTTGTGGGCTTTGTCAAAAGAAAGACAACCTTGTCTCCCTTGTCAGATGTGAACTTTACGTTCATGGAAATAAGTTCAGCTGCGCGACTTGCTGATGTAAGCATCAACAAAATAGCCAGTTTCTCTGTCAGATGCTTATCTGATAATTTACCATTTTCAGGCATATTACCAATATGGTCCAGGACCACGTCTTCATTCCAAGTTTGGTGGTATCGAGGACATGGAGGTTTCTGATTGAAAATAGCTGTCATAAGTTTCTTGGTCAAAGGATGTTGACCAACTGGGTAGCCATGTATGTGGCGATGAAAAGCAGACAAAGCTGATCTGCTAGTGTTAACGGTTCTGTATTCAGATCCACTTTCATACATGTGGGTTAGATGCTGTAGGATATGTTCCAATGAGGCTGAAAAGGGATTGATTTGCCGTTCCACACACCAGCAAGACCACCTCTTCCAGGAGGAATTATAAGCTCCTTGCGTCCCTGGTCTCCACTGGTGTGACAAAAGCTCGGCAGTTTTTTGCGAAATGCCTCCTGAAGTGACCAGATTCCTGAAACCCTCCAGGCCGCTAATAGCAGTGTCCCGTTTGCTACCAGAGGGTGTGTTTGACCTTGTGGTGATTCCAGCAAGTCGGCCCACACTGGTAGAAGTATTGGACACTCCACTGACATCTCCAACAGGACAGGGTACCACGCCTGGCCCTGCCACACTGGAGTTATCAAGGTCAGTTCTGCCCTCTCCCTCCTTACTTTCCACAGACATCTCCCGATCATGGAGAACGGGGGAAAGGCATAACCTCTCGCCCCCTTCCATTCCAACCGAAATGCATCTATGTAAGTTGCCTGGGGATCTGGTCTCCAACTGACATACTTCTCCAGTTGATGTGATAGGCGGGATGCAAAAAGATCTATCAAGTGAGGGCCAAGTCTCTGATTGCACTGGTTGAACACCTTGCGATTCAAGAGCCATTCGCTCGAATCTGCAAAATGGCGACTCTCCCAGTCTGCAATGATGTTCTCCTTGCCCGGTAGATACTGTGCTTCCAGAGTTATCTTTCTCTGGAGACAGAAGTCCCATATTTCTTTGGCTATTGTGACTAGAACATGAGACTTTGTCCCCCCCTGACGATTCACATAAGAGACTGCTGTGCGGTTGTCTACCTGGACCAGAAGGGACATGCCTGACTGACTTTTGCAGAAACACTGAAGAGCCAGTAGAACTGCTTTCAGTTCGAGAGCATTGATATGGAATTTGCTCTCCTCCAGACTCCACCGACCTCCAGTCCGGTCTTGATTGCAAACTGCCCCCCATCCCAGATTGGAAGCATCTGTTTGTAATATCAGATCTGGGTGGATTGCTGAAATGGGTTTGCCGTTGAAGGTCGACAGATTGTCTACCCACCAGCGAATTTCTTGCACACACTTCCTTGAAAGTTTGATCCTGTGTTCGTAGCTCTGATGTTCCAATAGTTCCTGTGATGATTGCATTTATAGGAACCGGCAGTGTAACTGGGCTGGAACAATAGCTCTCATTGATGCTGAAAGCTTTCCCAACAAAGTGGCCAGTGTTCGAATCTTTACCACTGGTAGTTTCAGTATCCTGTGACATCTTTGAAGGATGTCTGTCACTTTCTTCTGGGGAAGTGTTAGAGTGAGACACTGAGAATCTATCTCGAAACCCAGGAAGTTGAGGTTCTTACACGGAACAAGAACTGATTTCTCCTTGTTGATAACGAAACCTAGGTTCTTCAAAAGATACAAGAGACTCTCTCGGCAACGAACTAGACTCTCTGGGCTGCGGGCAAAGAGAATCATATCGTCTAGGTATATGATCAACCGAATACCTGCTCTGCGTGCAATGCTTACCACAGGTTTCAGCAATTTGGTGAACGTCCGTGGAGCTGGCGCTAGGCCAAATGGAAGGCAGAGAAACTGAAACAATCGCCCTTTCCATTGAAAGCGGAGGAATTTCCTCTGGTGCCTGGCAATTGGGATGCTGAAGTATGCATCCTTCAGGTCCAGTTTGCACATATAATCGTTTTCCTGAATGACATCCTTCAGGAGTGAAAGGCTTTCCATCTTGAAATGATTGTATGGAATGAAAGCATTCAGTTTTTTCACATTGAGTATTGGTCTCTG